TTAGAGCGAGAACAGTGTAGGGTTATGGTTAGAGTTAGGGTTATTGCTATTAGTAAAATTTTACAAGGAACATTTTTAATTAGGCCGCAGAAGGTGGTTTCTTAATTACTCTCCAAATGGCATCTAAATTATAGTGTAGGATTTCCTTTTCGTTTCAATGATAGTGAAAATATGTCTCGAAGAAAATTTATTCACAAACTTGGGGGTCATAAAGTTTTTTTAGAAAAAATATATGCATATTTAGAAGGGAAAAAGGCAATCCCTAGTGTCAGCCATGTTTTCATGAAGGATGAAGTACTCAAAAGGTCTAAAGTATAAATAGAAGAAAAAATTCGATCCATTGTAACCCAAGACCAATTAACATATGTTAGTGAATGGAAAACAGAATAAAAAATTCAATCCATTAGGGGGCTGTGCTATAGGTTTGTCATCTGCCCATGCGATAACACCTAAAGTTTTCGAGCTACACAGCCAATTCAAATACCACATTGCAACAACAATGGATAGTATTATGAAGTATTGCTACTTAAGAATGTTAAAAAACATTCGTAAAAAAGGATACAGAAATCATCCAAACAAAACTGCAGCTGAGAACCTCATAGACAATTATTAAGTTATAATAATTTATATAATTCGTATATGTGGAATATGTATAATAGCGAAGTGAAAATGAAGCATCAAGAGTATAGCACAGGGCAGTCAACAGTGTCTCCTAACAATACTATTTATTGTATTGTTTTGTACATTGAAGTTTTTACTTCTTTGACAGGCCTATCTTCAGAAGACTTCTTCAAATACAATTATTTGACTACTTATAGAAATTATAATGTGCTTAGTTCTAATATTATAAATAATAAATGAAATCCTAAAGCTATAGTGGACTATTTTGCTAAGTATGGAATTAGTTTAAAAATTAAAGGTGAATTCGATATGATAGATAGAGTTGAGTTTTTATCGAAACAATACTATTCTAAAGATGCTATAAAAGAATATTTTGAGATACTAAAGATGCTTAAAAATGTAGTGATTTGTAGTGTAAGTGATGAAAAAAAAACATGGTTGGCAAATAAATTTTCAGATTATTTTATTGATATTGAAAATCTATTATCATATCATAACAAAAAATATAAAATAATAGATGATCTATATTATAAACATTTACTTAAAAATGTATATAAATCTGGTAAGTATAATGATATTAATTTATTCTTTAAAAAGTGTATAAAATATAATTATAATTTAAAAGCTCTAGAAGAAAAATTCTATTATGTTACTCTCTAGACCAAATACCTAAAATAATTTTAGATGATAGACTATTATATATATGTAAAGGTAAATGGAGAACAAAAAAACCAATAACAAAAACTCATTATAATGAGTCTGGATAAAGATAAGTACAAATTTATAAAGGTTAATTATTTGAGTGATATATTTTATAATTCTAATTTTAATTTGTTAAAGGAGATACTGGAATATATACTTAATTATAAATACTTTATTGCTTATAGACATAATTGTGATAAACTTCTAATGAAGTTTTCTAATATTAAAAAAGATCCAAATAAGAATTATATATATTTATTAGAATGCATTTGTAGTTTAGCTAACAATTGTGTATATTATCTAGATATCCACTATTTATATATAAAATTTTATGACAAACTTATATATCATTATTATTTATATGTAAAAAAATATTAGAAAAAGATGTTCTATGAAAATATATAGTAAAATAATAAAACTACAATATAACAGAAGATTCAAATAATAATGGTCCTTTAATACTTAACCCAAGGGCTTCTAAATCTTATAGAGCTATGCAAGCTGGATATATAGTAACCACTATAAAAAACATCTCCTATGTGGCTTCATCTTCAATATTATTAGCCTTCTGTGAACTACAAATAATACTACCTTCTTTAAATCCAACTAACTAGTCTCTTACAAACTTTAACCTTGACAATAATCTACTCTCTGACTCTGACCTAAATAACAACTTATTACACAGCCTCAATGATTTACAACTTGAGACTATTATACAAATAACTGAAGATTTAGGCCTTATAGACTCTTTTACATGTTATAACAAGTTTTTTTTTATTATAGATTACCACTACTAGAACGTCTACAAACTATCTTTATTTTTTTTTAATATATTAAACATAACTTTCCTTCATATTACTTATCAGATCTTATTAAAATTTTAATCCTAAACAAAGATCATAATAATGTTTATACTAAAGTACATATTTATCGGTTGTATATCAGAATCCCGACACACAAAATCCTGACACACAAAATCCCGGCAACAAAATCCCGATATACAAAATCCTGACAAATTAAAATCCTAAAAATATTAAAATTAG